GGGCAGTGCTTTCATCTTCTCTTTGCTCTCAAGTGTCCAGGCATGGGGGCTGAGTCCTACCTGACCCCTGGGTAAGGTTACACTGAGATTTTTGGCCAAAGAAAAGTTTTACCAAATTATTTAGAGGCACAATGATATAATTTTACCTAATTCTATAGAGTTATGGTGAGGCGGCAATGGCGCAGCACAGATAGACAGCGGGTCTCAATACCAGCGAGCCCTGGGGTCATCCCAATTCTGATACATCCTTCCTGTTTGACCACTTCACTTAAATCTCTGTCCCAAGCCCCTACGACTCAAAGTTACAGAGAAGGTGCCAATCTGCATTGGTAGAGGGAGTTTCCTCGCTGGGAGTACCTTCTCCCAGTGAAATCACAGGTCCAGACCCCATCCCTATCCTCCCTATTCAGAAGCCTAGGATTTAGAGAAGGGGAAACTGAGGCCCAGAGATGAGAGTGCTTCCCAACCAGGAGGCTTGAAGTGCTTGTCCTTAGCTCCTGTTGGGTAGCTTACTGCTGCTCAGTGACGCATGAGCAGCTTAAAGAATGTCCTCTCTGTTCCCACAGGTCTAGGAGAAGCCAGACCTGCCTTTTTTTGTCTGCCATCCTTAGAAAAGATGCTGCTGGGCTTTCCCGATCTGTGTGGGGGGCCCTGGGCTGCCTGGCCGTGGGAGGAAAAGGAGGGCTATGGATCTCAAGGGGCCTGAGCAGCTAGAGTAAAGGGTTTGAAAAAGATCTGGAGGCCATGCTGGGCTGCAAGCACATCTAGTGCAATATGACAGCCCCAAAGCCCATGCCAACTTGGGGGCCAGGACAAAGGGCTAGGTTAGGGATGTGTTGGTCCCCATCTCTGTCCTCTGCCTGGGGCAGACCCTTTCTGGGAAGTGCCAGCTGAACAAGTGGCCAGGGCTTCCCCTGGTTTGGAGATTCTTCCATATGATTAGCTGAAGGTGCTGGAGAAAAGAAGATTTAGGAGACACAATTGCCATCCTCAAGTATGTGATGGGAGGAGGGATGAGCCTTGTTACTCGGAACCAGAAGTCGGGGGAGGGGGGTAGCAGCATGCAGCGGCAGACAGCGGCCCCCTCTAAGGAAAGGCTAACTCCTCGGAAGTCTTTAGGCAGAGGCTAGATGCCCACTTGAAGGGGAGAGGGTTAACAGTGCGGTTCTTGGGCAGGTACAGTGTGGGCTGCATGACCTCTGAGGTTCTGAGCCTTTGGGACTGTCTGCAATCTGAGCCCAGCCCCCTCTGCCTCCTTTAGCTGCTCAGAGCCTCGCACGTTCTTCCTGAGGAAGGGGCCAGGTTCTGTGCCATCTCACTGGTTCCCAAGCCTTTCTGGGCCCCCAGCTTGCCTCCTTCTGTATCCTGATTTATCTGGAGGAGGGTGGAAAGCTCTGGAAGCCCCTTTACCAAGCTCCACCTGGCCAGGGCTGAGGTGGCCTCCCTGTCTGTAGACGGTGATTGAGGCTCTGGCTGGATCTCACTTTTGAGAGTCTCCTTGAACAGTCTCTGGGCTCCTCAGGAAGCTTGGAGCTTCTATGATGAAAATGATGGGCACTCCCTTTCAATCATACAGAAGTCCCCCGAAAGCAGGGCTCTGGCTCTCCAACCCAAGCAGACAGGAAGTTGGGAGGCCTTGGCCAGTAGGCAGCAGCCTCTGCACCCCCAGCTCTCAGCTGCGAGTCTGGCCAAGCAGCAGCAAAACCGGGTGGGGCCTCAGCACCAGACCCACAATGCTCTCTGGCCAGAGCACCTGACCCCCAGTGTAGTCAGGCCATCCCAGGCCAACAACAGGTGACAAGGTAGGGCAGTGGGTTGGGGTCACAGGCTCGGGGTTCTCAAGTTCCAGCTCTGGCACTTATAGGTTGTTGGCAAGTCCCACCCTCTCTGGGACTCAGTTTCTTCACTCAGAGATAAGGGGCTTGGACTAACTCTTTGTTCCTGTGATCCTAGGCTGCACCATCATAGGCAGGCAGAGCAAATGCAGTGCGACAGGAGTGAGCATGGGTGTGTGTGTGTGTGTGTGTGTGTTTTATTAATTTATTTATTTTTAGTTTTCAACATTCACTTCCACAAGATTTTGAGTTCCAAATTTTCTCCCATGTCTCCCCTCCCCCCACCCTAAGATGGCATGCATTCTGAATACCCCTTCCCCTAATCTGCCCTCCTTTCTATCACCACCCCCTTCTCTTGTCCCCTTCTATACCTCATTGCCTGTATATCTTATTTCCCAGTTGCATGTGAAAACGATTTTTAACATGTTTTCAAAATTTTGAGTTCCAAATTTTCTCCCTTCCTCCCTCCCCACCCACCGTCATTGAGAAGGTTATACATGTGTAGTCACGTAAAACACTTTCATAGTAGTCATGTTGTGAAAAACTATTTCCCTTCATCCTATCTTGCCCCCCGTTTATTCTATTCTCTCTTGACCCCCGTTTATTCTATTCTCTCTTGACCCTGTCCCTCAGAAGTGTTTGCTTCTGATTAGCCCCTCCCCCAATCTGCCCTCCCTTCTATCATCCCCCTGTTCTCTTATCCCCCTCTCCCCTATTTTCCTGTTGGGTAAGATAGATTTCCATAGCCAACCGAGTGTATGTGTGTTATTCCTTCCTTAAGCCAAATCCAATGAGAGTAAGATTCACTCATTGCCCTCTATGTATCTTTTTAAAGACTAAAATATTCTATGGATGCCTTTTCCCATCGTTGACACTTCCCAACCATCTGTGCTCACTTGGACTCCTGTCTGTGCCCCAAAGTTGTGGTTAAACCAAAGTCCAAGATTGTGCCTGACAATGTGTGCCTGCTTCCTCCCATGGTCCACCGGCTCTCACCAATCTCCAGCTGAAGAGGGGCTTGTCACTGTATTTATTTATCAGAGTTCTTGGGTGGCTCACATGGATTGTTTCCCTGGCTCCCCCTTTTCATTCTGCCTTCCCAAGGTTCCAAGCCCCTTACTACGGAGACGACCCATTTCACTCTGGGGAGGCTTGAAGTGTTGGGAAGTTTGTTCTGATGCCCAGCCTCAATGAGCCTCTTGGCTACTTCTTCCCATTGTTCCTGGGGTGGCTGTCTGGACCCAAATGTCCCTCCTTCACAAAGACTCGAAGGCAGCTTTCTCGTCCACCCTGCATCTTCTCTTCACCAGCTTGGTTGCCGACCACCTTGTCCAGCATGGTCACATGGCGAGTAGGGCTCAGAGCCAGACCTCAAATCCACCTCCTGGGACTCATGTCTTGCCATTGGGCCCTAGTGGCTCTTGCCAGAATTCCCCCAGTCCCCCCCGCCCCAGGCCCTCCTTTTTCTCCAGACCCTTCAGGTCTCCCTGTGACTGGCTCCTTAGGTATTCCTCAGCATCTTGGGAAGGCATCTCCCTGCCAGCTGGGGCTTAGCCTCTCTCAGTAACATGCCTGACTTCCCCTTACCTCTGGGGACTGGCTGTAGACCACCGGCTCTTGTGGTACAGTGGAAAGAGGGCTGAATTTCGGGTCAGAGGACCTGGATTCCAATTCTTGCTCTGCCCATGTGACCTTCTCCCTGGGCTTCAGTAAATGAGACCTTCATAAAATAAGGAGCTGGACTCAATGTTTTCTGAGATCCCTTCCAGATCCAGCTGTGGTCCTAGAATCTACTCCCTTACCCCCTGCCACCAGGTGTTTTTTCTGGTCCCACTTTCTGGCAAAGGTGTCATCTGCTACCAATCTGGTACCATTGTATCAGGCTGATGGAATGTCCTGTGCAGAGGAGCCTGGGTAAAGGGCAGGCTTGAAGGATGAGCTCAGACACCATGCCTTGCTAGGTCTGGTAGAGATGGGGGCCTTTCCTGGGAGTAAGGTAGCCTAAAGGCTGAGGGGAAGTCTATGAAGTAGAGGTGGAGAGACCCAACCCTGACCATTGAGATGAGGCTGAAAGGAAATTGGTTCTGCAAGCCCTTCTCTTATGGTCCATGATGGAGTGGGGGCAATGTGTATGTATGTGAATATGTGTATGTCTGCGTGTGGCCACATGTGCATCTGCTGGCGTGGGCTAAGAGTAGTGTTTGCAGGGCCCCAACATGAATGGTGTGATGGGCCAAACACACGTGTGCTCCTGAGCTGTACTGAGAGAGGCCAAGGGTCCTAGATGAGGGTGAGGACAGTCCCCTGACCCCTGCCTGCCCGGGCCAGGCTTCAGCTGGGATGTTGTGTTCCGCTCTGGTGCGTCTGGACAAGTGGATCCCACAGAAGGCAACGGGCATGGGCACTCCAAGAAGCATGTGGTGGCAGCCTCAGGTGGAGGAGCAGAGAGGACTCAGGGGGACAGGATGGCCTTCGGAAAAGACCTTGATGAGGCTGTTGTGTGGAGGAGGGCTTGGCTTTGTTCTCTTCGGCCGAGAGCAGAACCAGGAGCAGCGATGGGGGGAAGTTGGAAGGCATATATCTGGACAGTGTGTCATGAGTGATGAACCCACCTGGGGGCGGGGCGGGGCGGGGCGGGACTGTGCAGTCCCTGGAGGCCTTCGAGGAGACGCTGGGGCCTCCTCACGGTGGCTCTCGGTTGGACTGGATGACAGTTGGGTTTCCCCCTTTGCCTTTTGCACTTTGGGCATTTGGTGATGCTTTGGGGAGATATTGCCTATGGGGAACCCCAGTTCTTGGAGCTTGCCAGGGCTTCAGGTGTTGGAGGCAGCTAAGGGTCCTGAGGCAGGCAGGGGGGAGGCCAGTGTTCACAAGACCTCTTTTTGGGCCTCCTTGGGCCTTCCCTTCAGCGTCTGACGATTCCCATGTTCACTTCCTCTCAGGAGCCTAGCCAGATGGGTTCTCCCTGGGTAGGGGAAGCAGCTTGTCCAGTGTCCACCTGAAGGCTGAAGAGGAGGCCAGCTGGGCCATCCTTCCAGGCTGCCCTCTCCTCCCAAGGCTTCCTCATGTACGTGGGGGAGGGAGGTGGGGTGGGCCGGAAACTGCTTGGGAAGTGATTTCAGCCCCAACTCCCCAGGCTAACTTCCTCCCTATTCTTGTTGGCAGGAGAACCACCCCCCTGGCCAGGCCACATTCATGGCACATGGCCAAACTGCTGGAGGGGCGCCCTGAGGTGGCAGCTGCCTCCATGAACTTTCCTGAAGACCCCTTCAGCTTATCCTGGCATTCGGGCTGTGACACCAGGTGAGTGCCAGCTTGTCCCTCCCAGCTGGTGGTGCCCCTTGGCCGAGAGCCTATGCCCAACAGTCTCTGGTGGCCCCACGTTCTAGATCCCAACATGGGACTGGCTCTTAGCTCTGGCTTGGTTTCCCAGCCAGGCTGGTGACCAGCTTTGTCCTGCTGGGTAAGTCCCGTGGCCCCTCTGGGCTTCAGCTTCCTGGTCTGTCGAAAGAGTGGTTAGGGAAAGGGAGGCTGTGATGGACAGGGCTTTGGGCTTTGAATTTCAGCTCTGCTGCTTAGGAGCTACTATGATCTTGAGGGAGTCCCTCGGCCAACTTCCCTGGACCTCAGTTTCTTCTCCTGTAAAATTAGCAGGCTGGACTTGATGGCATCCCAGGGCCCTCCCCAATCTCACATTCTCTGGAGTAACATCCAGCCTTGAGGCCATGGTTGGGAAGCCTTTGACTCTCTGGAAAATGAGACAGAGAGGGTGGTGGGGCTTTGCCTGCTGGAAAGCTGGGTGCCTGACAGCACTCTTCCCCGTGGGTACCTCGTGGTGGGTACCTCGAAGGCCAAGGGGAAAGGTGTGCCCTTGGCCAGGGGCAGGGAATAATCTATTGGGGGCACTTGGAGGCTCTCGAGCCGGGAGCTGGCCTTTCCAGTGCTTCCTTTGGGGTGGTCTGGCCCAGTACCCTTTTCTTTCTTTTGGGATCTGATTTCAGCAGGTTGGAGAAACCCCTGGGCACACACGGGGCAACTCATCTGTCATTTGGAATCTTAGAGAGCCGCAGTAGTGGGAGTCACCTCACTGGCAGCTGTCAGAGAGCAGTACTAGCAGCCAGACCTTCCTCATTTAGGAGGCAGGCTGGCTGGCTGAGGGGCAAGCGAGTTTGTTAGCCAGGGCCCCCCAGTGCTGAGCTGCAGTAGGAACTTGAACCCAAATCTGGGGACTGGAGCTCAGTGCTCTTTCTATGATGGCCTGGTGACTTTTGGGTTTCCTTGAACCCCCAGGATTTTCCCCTGAGAGGCCCAGTGCCCCTGCTCTCACTGGCCCTCATTTATGAAGGAGGCCATGAGGCTCAGGGGGATGGATTCCACAGCACAGAAGTGACCCAACTGGGGCTGGACCACTCAGCTCTTCTGCCTCCAAGATTCTCCAAAGGCACTACTGAGCTAGGAGCTCACAGTGAGGGGCCTTCGAAGGCTGGCTACAAGCAAAGGGAGAGCCAGGATTTAGTTGGGGGAGGGCCATGGGAGGGCAGAGACAGAGCAGACAACACCCCCCCCACACACACACAGCCAGAGTGTGCCCCCTGGCCTTTTGTTCTCCCACACTTAGGCTAGCTTTTATCCCCCTGCTGTGCATGTCCTCTGACCCAGTGGCCTCTGTCTGGTTGTCCCTCTCCTCTGCCCCCTCCTTCCACCATCACCTCGCCTATTCTCCACAACCTGCTTTCTGCTTCAGCCCTCTTCACCTTTCCCTTCTCCTGTGGATCTCAGTCTCTTTCCTTCCACCCCTCTCTGTCTTTCATAGTCACTAACATCCCTTCTTCAGGCACCAGCAAGCCTGGAGCAGTGGGAATGGTGTGGAGGGGGACAGGGAGGTAGTACTAGGGTTCTTATTCCCATTTGCGAGATTAAGAAACTGAGGTTCAGAGAGGCGCTCAAGGTCACTGAGGCCAGACATGTGCCTGAGCAGGCCTTGTGGTTCTGGTACTCGGTGCTCTTGCCTTTCAGTTCCTACTGCCTGAACTGGGCCTTGCCCTCATACCTCTGAGTGCCCCTCTTCTCTGTTTCTCCAGTGACCTGTGCATGCAGTGGTGCCCACTGTCCCGCCACGGCAGCACTGAAAAGAGCAGCTCCATTGGCAGCATGGAAAGCCTGGAACAGCCCAGCCAAATGTGCCACGAGGGCCACGTCTCCCCTGTGGAGCAGAGCACATATCAGAGTCAGCGGGACTCGGCCTATAGCTCCTTCTCTGCAGGCTCCAGTGCATCAGACTATGCCCTGCCCCTGCGGCCAGAGGAGACGGCAGCCTCGGACTGCAGCCCGCCAGGCCTTGGGCCGGCCAAGGCCCCGAATGGCCTCTACCTCCACACAGGGCCTGATGGGGCAGCAGGGCCATTAGGTCATCAGCCTTCACCCAGCCCCCAGGAGGGTCCTCTCCCTGGCCCTGCCCAAGTTCCTGGGGCCCTTCCAAGTCCTCCTCAGCCACCAGTAAGACGGGACAGCCTTCGAGCCTCCAAGGCCCAGTTCCACCAGACAGAGAAGCGGAGGGCCTCAGTCCCTGGAGTTGCCTTATACCTAAAGGAGAGATGGAACCCTGAGACCCTGCTGTCCTCAGACCTCCCCGCTGGGCCCTGCTGCCCCTGCAGCCAGGTCCTAGAGCCCCATGAGGGCCACTGGAAGGAGTGTCTGTCTGACGAGCAGTACTGTATGGTGAGCTGCCCATCTGAGTCGGGTCACTGTGATCCTGAGCTACGGCTGAGGGGCGGCCCTCGGAGGACAGGGTGGCCTGGCCAGGACCAAGTCGTGTCCAGTAGCCCTGGGGGAGAGACTGAAGAGGAAGAGGCAGCCATTGCCACAGCAACCGCCATCCCTGCCCACCTTACTGGGCTGACCAGCCACCGTCACAGTGCTCCTGAGCAGCTGCTGGCCTCCCAGATTCGATCCCTGCACCTCGGTGTTGAGAGGGATGGGGACAGTGAAGGGGCTGAACTGCAGGCCAGGCAGGAGGGGCATCACTGGACCCTGTCTCCCCTCCACAGTGCCCACCTGGCACAGAAAAGCCCTTGCCACCTCCTGGCAGGAGCCCAGAATAAGCCTGGCGAGAAGAGGACCGTGGGACAGGCAGGTGGCCAACCTTTGACTTCTGAAAGCTCGGGTCAGAGCAGCCCCACTCCTGGGGGATCCTCCAGCGAAGCAGGAGCCGTTCAGCTCTCTGGCCTGGAGGATGCCCCTCAGCAGGCCAGCTCCGATGAGGGCTTGGAGGCCAAGAACGGCCACCCAGGAGATGTTCGCAGGAGCAGTGGCACACGCTACCGCTCCAGCCAGCCGAGACGCAGGAGTGAACGCTTTGCCACCAACCTGCGTCATGAGATCCAGAGGAGGAAGGCCCAGCTGCAGAAGATCAAGGGTGAGTCAGAGGAGCCAGAGCCCGTAGAGGAGACAGAGGAGCCTGCTGAAGCGGCCACCCCTGCAACTGCACCGTCTCCACAGCCTCCAGCTCCCGCTCCTGGGGCCTCCCCACCTCTCCCTGCCCCAGCTCCTGGGCCCTCCCCACCTCTCCCTGCCCCTCCTCAGACACCTGCAGTGGTGGCTCACCGTAGGCTGCCCAGCCCCGGAGACCGGTTCTCTGATCAGACTCGACCTAATGGTAACCTGCTGAGGGCCAGGTCCTCAGAGTGCTTAAACCAGACGACAGGAAGCCAAGAAGTGAGGACCCCACTGGAGGGCCCTGGCAGCCCTGGCCAGAGGCCCTGGCAGTCTGCAGCTGGACTCCACCCCTGGTGCAAAGCTTCTGGGCATGGCCCTTCCAAGCCCAGGCCCCAATCTGGGGCTCGGGGAGGCCGCTGGCGATGGTCTCCAGAGCGGAAACTGCAGCCTCAGCTGACACCAATCCCAGGCGGAGGCTTGAACCTGAGTGAGGAGGAGCTGGGCGGCCCTTCTGGGGAGGAGGGCATCTTTGTGCCTTTCGCAGATAGGAAGAAGTTTTTTGAAGACACCAGCAAGTCATTGCCGCCAGCAGCTTCGTCCCTCGGACACAGTAAGCCCTTTACTCTGAGGCTGAAACCACTCGACCCACCTCCCTTTCAGCCAGTGAGTGCTGGCTGCAGGGATCTGAGGCGCCACTCCGTGGACCAAGCTTATCATTCCTCGGCCTCCCTGTCCCCGGAGCCAGCCACCTATTCAGAATGCTTTGTGACCAAGGAGCTGGAGCAGCCCATGTGTTACCAGCCCCTGGCACACTGTGGGGACTTTGAGTGCCTGCGGCCCTGCTCGTGCTCATGTGGCATTCAGGCAGCTGTGGGCCATGACACATGCAGCTACTGCCCCATCCTGCTGAAGAGAAGCCTGCTCAGTGGCCACCGGAGTCACCGCTGCCACCCCCAGCAGTGGGCTCACTGCACAGCCTGTTGTCACCCCGGGCCTCAGCACAAGGTTGGAGAAGAAGGCAGCCCTTCCTGGAAGGCCAGGAATTCCTCGCTGAAGGTCAGTACCCAGCCTCCTGAGGTGGGGTGGGGGTGCTCTTTGCCCACTGCCAACTGGGGACCTAGCCTGGGCTGACGTCCTCTCCCCTCTGCTCTCCTTCCTGCTTCAGTTCCCAGGGTGACTCATTCAACAGTGGCCTCCTCTAGGGCATTCGGGCAGGCCTTGTTCCTTCCTGTCCCAGACAGTTGTCCAGGGTTGCCAGGGTGGCCCAGGCAGCGCTTGGGGTTTTTGTGACAGTAGGTGGGATGGAGTCCCACCTTGTCCTGGAAGCCCCTTGTCTGGCTTGGCCAAGCTCAGTCTACCTTGGCCCATGGGCTCGGCCTCTTGGCACTGGCCTAGTAGAGCAGTCTGTCCTCTGCACCAGAAGGCACTGTATTGTAGGTATGGAAGGGGCAGTGCAGGCAAGGGCTGGGCCCCCGAGCAGTGCCCAGCTCAGGCAGCCATGGTGCCAGAGCTGTATTCAACCATGGGTGGCAGCAGCTTTTTTTTTCTTTTTAATTTTTTTAATTTGCAAGGAGCTGTTGGCTCAGCTTCTCTTGATTTGTGAGACAGTTGCTGCAGGAGGGAGAAGTTGCCAAAGGCCTGGGTGGGACGTGGATGGATGGTGTCGGGAGCTGATTGGGAGTGGAGAAAACTTGTCCTTAAGAATCATCGGCCACCACAACAATGCATTATGTGTTATGGGGGGCGCAGGTGGCCCGAATGACCTGGACCACCCACCAAGGAGCAGTCAGTAGGCTTGGGCCTCACTGGATTGGCCCAACATAGAGAATTGGGAGGATCCTGTCAGGGCTCTGGCCCTCTGGGCACCCCTGCCCATGGGTAGCCTCTCATGGGGAAGTGGTCTGGCTTTGCAGAACATGGGGAGAAATGAGAAGGCCAGCTGGGAAGCCCTGGTCCAGACACAGCTTCTGCTATGAAGGTCATTCACTGTGGTCGGCTGCTGCCACCACTTGCCTAGAGGGCCACAAAGTGGGGCTTTGAGTTCCTACAGAATGGAATGTCTGTTGCCTCCCACTGTCCTTGTTAGCATCTGTGGAACCCTGGGCTTTATGGCCTGAAGGATCAGGTTGGGGGGGGGCTGGGAGGGAGGGCAGACAGGGCATTGGGGATGGGAAATCGTGGGCCCCATTGTTGGGAATTGAAACACCAAAATCATGGACTTAGAGCTGGGAGGACGTCAACGGTCATCTAATCCAACCTCATTTTATGGTAGAGGAAATGGAAATAAGTCTAGGGAAGGGAAAGGACTTGCCTAAGGTCATAGTAGCAAAGCTCTGAGTTGGCCTTCCTCAGACATAACCCCCACAGTCTCCTGTGGACATCTTGTTTGATTGTATGTGGGTGCGAGTGGTCTTTCTCACTGGGCTGGGAGCCCTTGGACATAGGGGCCATGTTTTTGTATCTCCAGTGCTTAACACAGTGTCTGGCATATAGTTGGAGCTTAATAAATGCTTGTTATCTTGCCTTGATTTGACTTACCAGGCACTGTACAAAGTCGTGGGAAGGGTTAGAGAAAGGAAGGATGAATGACGCTCATAACTCACCCCCGTGCAAGGGAACCTGCTGCAGTGAGGTAGTAGGCCTGAAGCCTGTGACCATTGGTGACTCACTTCCCCTTTGGGCCTTGGTTTCCTCATCTGCAACGTAGGTGGGGTGGCCTTGAGGCTCTCCAAGGTCTTTGCCAGCTCCGTTATTCTGTGGTTCTGAGGATGGAAAATGAGCTCAGTGGGAGTTTGTAGAAAGGAGCTGAGCCAGCTCAAGGAGATGAGATACAGGGAACCTGCATGAGGGTGGTGCGGGTAGAGATCAGGCAGTGGGGAACTGTAGGGCAAATTGGGGAGAAACACCTAGCCAGAAGAATCCTAGGTCCCAATATCTCCCAATTATAGAAGTTGGAAGGCCCTAGTTGAACGCCTGCCTTTTCCAAAAGCTTCTGGAAACTGAGGCAGCCCAGGGAGGTGAAGTAGCATTGAGGCAGGATTTGACCCCAGGTCTTGTACCCCCAGAGCTTTGGCTTGAGAAGGGAGGCCGGGCACACATTGCACAGCCTCCTGTATCCAGCATGGGGCTTAGATGTTCAGCAACTCAATAAAAGGAGGCAGCGAAGGGCCAGAGGCCTTTTCCAGTGACCATCATGGCCCCCATGAAGATGCTTGGTGAGGCTGGAGTAGTTCCCAGTGCCCACCTCTCCTTTGTGGAGCCAGGGCAGGAGCCAGAGCAAACAGCAAACATGCGAGGGGGTGGAGGGAGGGGGCCTTCTCTCTCCAGCTCTGTGCGGCATGCCCAGACCCACAGCCCTTCTAGGGTCCAAGCAAGGCAGTCACTTCCAGCCAGAGGAGGCATCAGACAAAAGCCAGGCTCCCTAATTTGTTGGAGTCTTTTTTATAGGAAGTTTCTCCAGATGAATGGGAATCAGCGAAGATCACCAGGAAGGCCGGCCAGCCTGTGAGGTAGGTGGCATGGAAGTAAGCCTCTGGCCCACGGATGGGTCTGGGGCGGTGCGGGCATCGGGCCAGCCAGCTGGCTGAGCTTATGGCCCCTCTCCTGGTGCTACCAGGACCCCCTAGCCTGACCTACTGCGTCGAGGAACAAACAGCAGGAGGGGAAGAGGGAGCCAGAAGCAGAGCCTCACTCAGGTGCTGCAGGGATAGCTTGGGGTCAGGTCAGACAGCACAAGCAAGCCTTGGCTGCTTCTGGCCTGGCATCTGCCCTCTTTGCCAGCCAGAAGGTGGGTGAAGGCTACACTTCCAGGGGCCCTGCCCAAGAGGCCACGGAACAGCTGGGCACACCTCTCTCTCCTCCCAGAACATACCTGTTAGTGCTGGGGAGAACAGAAGTGTGCAAGTAGCCAGGATGGGGTGACGGCATTGCCTCCTTCCTAGGAGGGTGCCCTTTGCAGTAGATTCAGAGCACCTGGTCTTGAGGCCTCCCCATCAGCCCCTCCTCCCCAGGAAAGCCCTGCTCCCAACTTCCTAAGAGCACATGCTTTGGGGCCTTGTACAAAGCCCTTAATTCCAACTGCTAGTCTCAGAGGGGTGTGTGTGTGTGTGTGTGTGTGTGTGTGTGTGTGTGTGTGTGTGTGGTGTATATGTAGTATGTGTGTATGTGTGTATGTGTTTGTGGTGTGGTGTGTGTGTGTACGTGTGTGTGTGCAGTCCATCAGTGGTAATGGGGAGCACCTGTGGGCCCAGCCCCAGCCCTCTCACACTACCCTGTGATTCCAAGAGGAGAAGGTGAGTCTGCCCTCAGGAGGCTGCCAGTCTACTGGGGGAGGCAAGTTGGGGACAGATGAACCGTGTAAACAGCCTGTGTGTGCCAAGCGCCAGAGTAAGAGTAAGGACAAGAAGGGCCACAACAGTGTGGGATGGCTTCGTGGACAAGGTAAGGCCAGGGGCCTGCCACACGTGACCTGTGTGAGCATGGACAGCTCACTGCCCGTCTCTGGACCTCCATTTCCTCATCTGTAAAATGAATGGGACAATAATACTTCCCAGAGGTGCTAAAGACATGTGACTCATCGTAATCAGCATGGGCAGTCCGGGAAGAGGGGACAGCAAGGGCCAAGAACCCAGGGAGGGGATAGACACGGCTTAGTCATGGAACAGGAAGGAGACAAGTGTGACATGGGATTAGAAAATTCACCCTGGGGAGCCTTGGGTAGTAACGTGGGGACAAACAGGTTGACATTGGATTGGCAGGAGGAGCCAGGAAGCAGTGAAAAGTTTTTTGGGCCAAGCTGTGAAGCCATCCAAGGACGTGGGGGTGGCCAGCAGCCTGAACAGTGTCTTACCCCAGTGAGTAGGCCCTACATTTAAGTGGTAACACAGTGGGAGGTGGCAGGGGGGGCAGTTTTGGAGAACAAATGGACGTGATGATGACTGACTGGGCATGAAGGATGGGGCAGAAGAATGCCAACCCCAGTGTGTCTGATCTGGCTGGGTGGGCAGGAATAAGAGGAGGGTGGTGCACTGGTGACAGGGGTACAGGCAAGACCAGGAGGTCAGTCGTGGCCACAGACTTTCTTTTTACATACTTGTACCCCCAGTGCTTAGCACAGCTCCTGGCACACAGTAGGCACTTCATTGATGTTTCTTGACTATTATTATTGACTGAGTTGGAGGTGATGGTGAGGCCTGCTGGTGAATCCAGGGACAGCAGCAGAGAAGGCACAGTACCCAAAGACAGAGAAGAATCAGAATAATCTGTGACTATGGAAGCCAAGGCGGGCAGGTAGGCAGCTAGCAGTACCAGACGTGGCAGAGGGACCAAGGGAATGAAGAGGTTGTGGGCTTCTTGAGTGCCAAGATGGTGGGCAGTGAGGGGAAGGAGGGAAATAGGATGGCAGGCTGGGCTGGAGGTGAGCCCCGAGGAGTCAGTAGCCACCCAAGAAAGGAGGGGAATAGGCCCGCCCTGGCAATTCCAAGCATGGCAGAGGGCTGCCTCGGGAGCCCAGAAACCCCTCTTCCTCTGTACCTGGAGGGAGACAATGGAATGAGAGGTATTTTGTGGAAGGGGGGATTCACCTCAGTCTGCTTGGCCTCAGAGGGCAGAGCTAGAAGCAATGGGGGAAGGGCCTGAGAGGTAGATGTCCCTGAGTGGGAGGGACTGCCTGGGGAGGTGGTGGGCTCCCTCCTGCTGAAGGGCTTTGAGCACAACCAGAAGGCCAGTGCCAGTGATAACGGGAGGGGATTCCTGCCCAACCATAGGCTGTGCTTGGGGGCCTCTAGGCCTTGTGGACACTGGGCCTCAGTTTCTTCCTGTAGATGGGGCAGAAGCAGATACTGGCAGTCTGGGTCCTGGGGCTGATGGAACAGAAGGGTCTAAGCCCTAACAAGGGTCAATCATATTTAAGCAAAGAATTTGGTGGGTAGGTGGGGGCTCATAATAACAGCAGCAGTGAGCACTTGCATACCATGTATGGTTGGAGCCTCACCACGACCTTGGAAAATAGACCAAATCGTCATCCTCATTTTCCAGAGGTTAAGTAACTTTACCAGGGTCATACGTAATCAGTGCCTGAGGTGGGATTCAAACTCAGGCCTTCTTCACTCCTGCCTAGTCTCTCCACCACACCACCTAACTGGCTTGGCCGTGCCTTCTTCATTCCCTGGGGTGCAAACCCCAGTTGGGGTTGGGGAAAGAAACTAGCAGTGAGCTCTGAGCCTGGGAATAGATCCACCATTGACACCAATGGTGAGAAAGTGTTTTCCAAACAAAGGCCCATTCAGCGCCCTTCCCATCAGGGGCTTTCTCTTCTGGTGAATGGATTGTCCTCTTATTAAGTGGAGGGCACTTTCAGGAGAGTAGGCAAAAGCTCCTCGGGCCACTGCCCCTACCGCTGCCTCCTCTGCCCCTGGTACTTTGTTTGATTGGACTTTTCTTCTTCTGTGGGTCATGGTCGCTGGGTCCTCCGGGCAGGACCAGCAGCCCACAGGGGCTGCTCGGTCAGTGCCAAGAAAGGCTTGGGCGCCTTCCTCATGAACGCTAAAGAGCACCTTCACAAGCCTGTCAGGGGAGTGGGGACCTTGGGGGCCACAGTGCTTGATGGTCTATTTTGTTTTAGGGGGGCTTCTGCTGAGTGAGGAAGGGAGAGGAGGGAGCCTGGACATGATTCCCAGGAGGACCACAGCTGATACAGCAGGGAGCCAGAGGCAGAAATCCGAACTTGGGCACAGAGCCTATTGGGAGTGTTAGAGGCCTTTCATTTATCAAGGAAAGCCAATATCTGCCCACGTGCCTGCCCTCCTACCTGCCCCCCGCCTGCCCTCCTACCTACTCCCCACCTGCCCACCTACTTGAGCCACTCAGTAAAACTAGATGCAGCCCTCTTTTGGCCTGAGAGCACCAGTGGGCCTTTCTGCTGAGCCCCCACCCTCTCTCTTTTTGTCCTCCCCCTTGTCCTGGTGAACCCTGTGGTTAGTACAGATATATGGTGCCCAGACAACAGAGGGTTTCATTCCACGATGCCAACCAGGCTTCAGGTCTTCCCATCACCTCTCACCTGGACAATTGTGACGGATCCGAATTGGTGTCCTTTGCCTGCCCCCTATGCAGCTGCCAAAGTAATTTCCCTAAGGCTAAGGCTGGCTTACCCCCTAGGCCCCAATGGCCCCCCAGCAGTCACACCCGGGAGCATTTCAAGCTTCTCTTCATCTCCTTCCCCTGCTGCCTCATCTACCATCTCTGTGCCTTTGCATTGGCTGTTCCCCAGCTATCACCTTGGGCCATGCTTACTTTGCCCCAAAGCACTTTGAAATGCCACTTTCTGCATTATTTCGGTGAGCTGACAGATGGAAGGCACTCTGCGACCCCTCAAATGCTCTGTAAACGTTGGCTGCTGTTACTGGTTTTGTAAGAAGCTTTCCCTCCCTTCCCTCGCCTCCAGTCACTAGGTTCTTTTGTACATGCTTCCCTCTGGCTTTGTCTTTTCCCCTGATGGAGCGTCTGCTCCTAGAGGGCAAGGCCTGTGGTAGTGTTGCCTTTATCTCGGATGGGGTCTGACAATTAGTCAATAATTCTGGCACACAGCAGGCGCTTAATGAATGCCTTTTGCGTGAATAACTGGTAAGGACCTGGCCAGTCTTCCATCTGGGAGCCTCTGATGCTTTTGAATAAAGGGGTGTCCTTCCCTGGAGGGGCTCTACGCCCTTCTGCCTTGGAGGAAAATGGCATGGTACCCACCCATTTGGACAGCTTTCATTCATTTCAACAATTCAGAGAGGATTGATTCAGCCCCAACTATGGTCCTGGGCAAGAGGCCGGGCCTGCCAAGACCAAAAGGACTATTTCCTTGCCTTCTGGGAGCCTAGACACTCCTGGGGGCAAGCAGCCAGCTCTCCTAAACGTTCCCAGTTCCTTCAAGCAATCTAGGACGTGGACCCTGAGTTCATGACCCTGATGGGACCCTCCCCTGGGCACTTCACAATGCCCTTGATGAATTGCGAGGCCTGGAATTGAACACAATCCTCCAGGCCAGGATCTCTCTTTTGAAGTTGGCTGCTTGAGGTGTGTGTGCCTGCCCTCAGTGTGGTCTGGTGTGAGGAGAGACCTAAAATATCAGGGAGGGAGTAACAAAAAGAAGGAGCTCCCACTGGTAGAGGGAAGGCTGGCAGATGGTCCAGGTGTGGCCTGCTGGGTGATGCCAACATGGGGGATGTTGGGTGACACAGAGGATTTCAGATGGGCCCAGGCTAAGAACAGCTGTAACCTGGGCTAGCCGAGCCAATTGCTTCCCTTGGTGAGATCACAGACCTGCAATGTTCTTGGCTTCTCCCTCCATGACTTGCCGACTATTACAAGCCCCAACTCCTCTTCGTGGGAGCTGTTTGCTGGCCCCATCTCCTGACCATGTACTAGTACAGATGACTTTTTGGACCCCAGTGTAGGACTTGACATTTATGGCCTTCATGTCTCTTTCAGCCTCTTCATGTTGGTCCATTGTTCTAGGCTGTTAAGATATTTGGGGATCCTTGTTCTGCCATCTAGCGAGTTAGCATTTCCTCCTGGGCTGTGTCATCCATAAATTGGATAAACAAGCTGTCTGTGGCTTCCGTAAATGCCTAAAAATAAATAAAAAAAATAAAAATAAAATAAAGTTGCTGCTGAGCACAGGGTGAGGACGAGGCCAGATAGATGCCGTAGGTACGGGACTGGAGAGCAGCCTCCCAGTGGGATGCATCCCTCTCATCTAGGCCATAGCTCTTCATCTGACCTGGAAACGTCTCCAGCTGCCTCAGTAGATTCATTGGGGATATAGGTGGGAAGAGCAGCCTGGCTCCCTTCCTAAGAACTCTTACTTCTAGGTTTGGCAGGAAGGAAGTCACGGTAAGTGAAACTGCCTCAGTAACTTCACGTCATTAAAGTCAAGTCAAGTCAAGCTCATTGCTGGCGACCTAGCCCAGCCCCTCACTTTCTAGGGGAAGAAGCTGGGGTCCAGGGAGGGAGAGGAGACGTGAGTCGAATCCTACAGCAAGGGCCAGAGCCAAGGCCTGACCCCAGGAAGCAAAGCTGCAGAGGAGGAAACTGAGGCCGGGGAGGTGGCATGTCTTGCCTGAGCTCACACAGCTAGTTAGTGGCAGAGGCAGGATCTAAAGCCACGTGTGTTTGCTTGTTGTTGGCCTTTCTGGGCACACTTGGGCCTCAGTCCGCTGGGTGGTGGTGAGGCCCCTGTGAAGGAGGCAGCGTAAGTGGGAGCTGCTTCCTCCATCTTGGGAAGTTACTGCTCTTCCCATTTTACAGATGGACCACCTGAGGCCCAGCCAGCAAGTGGCAAAGACTTGACGCCAAGAGCCCAGGGCCCGAGCCCTTCCCCTTGACTCCTTCCAAGCCTCGTCTTGGGCTAGGCTGAGGAGCAGCACCAGGAGCTGGAGGCTAGAGGCTCATCTTTGGGGAGAAGATGGGCAGAAGGGCTGGGGCGAGGGAAGCGTGCCCTCCAACGGCCACCGTTAACAAATGAGATCATGTTTGTAAGGTGCTTGCTCTCTTTCCCTTGCATGCCCCCATGGGGCAGGGCATGCAGGCTAATGACTCAATTAACAGAAGGGTCGTGGGGGAGCTCGGATTCCAGAGTGGCCTAGTTGACAACAGGGCATTCTGGGAAGTGGCAAAATGAGTCAGGGATGGAGGCCCTCACCCTTGAGCTTTGAACCAAGAACAAGAACGTGGGTGGGGTGGGGGCGGCTGTGGGGAAGGCCCAGGAGCTTTCCAGAATTCAGTGTGCCTCAGTGTATGTGGCAGGCCTGTTGAGTACTGGGGAAATGGCAGGCAGAAAGCTCCTAGTCTACTGGAGGTGAGGTTCTTGGCAGAAGGGAACCAAGGTTTGTAGGAAGGAGTAACAGCTGTCTGCCAGAACTTGGAGGCAGGACAGAAGGAAGGCAGGAAGGCCTGACATTTCCTAACTCTGTGACCCTGGGCAAGTCACTTTAACCACTGTCTGCCTCAGTTTCCCTCTCTGTAAAAATAGGGATAATTCCATCACCTGCCTCTCAGGGGTATTGTGAGGGACCAAATGAGGTGACTTGTGGAAATCCTGTCTGCAGCTGTCATCCACCATCACTTTGATTGTGAGACAGGCTCAGGTGGGCATATCCTTGGAGGAGGCCCTATTCTAAAAGGAGGTGTTTGGGGCGGAGGAATGCTCTCCCTTCTCACCTTCAAAGCTCAGTTTACTGGAGGCCTCCCCTGTTGTTCCACCTCCCACCCTCCACTAAATACAAGCTTGTATTTTAGATGACAGGGAAGGGACCCAAAAAGGTCACGACAGAACAGAGAACAGACAAATCTAATAAAATGAAACCTAGTAAGGATGAACAGAAAGGCCTGTACTTAGGTTGGGGAAAAACACTCTTCCCAAGTACAGGCTAGGAGTTCCTGAGGAAAGATCGGGAGCGCTAGCTGACTGAGAGCACCCTCGTGGCCACCAGTGAGATGTGGCTGCCCAAATGAGCAGGCCTGAAGCATGCTGAATGGGAAGGCAACAGGCCTACAATCCTCTGCCCGCTGAAACCTCAGACCCCGGTTGGGGGCCTGTGGTCAAGCCTGAGTAGTAGATATGAGGAAGGACCTTGGCATCTTAGAGTGGGTCCAAGGGAGGGGGAGTAGCCTGGAGGTGGGAGGGCCTGAGAGGTTCAGCCTGGACAAGAGAAGGTTTAGTTCTCACCAAGCACTTGGAAGGTTGGCGTGTAGAAGACAGCTTTGACCCCAGTGGGAAGACCCAGAAACAGTGGAGGGGAGGGAGGGCATTGACCAGGAGGCCTTGGGCGGCAATGCCCTGACCCTTGCAGGTGCTGTTCAGACATACTTCAGGTAGGGCCTGGACTCAGGGCACAGCATTGCTGCTCAGGGAGCCATTGGAAGGCTGAGGCCCCGGGTGACAAGAGGCCAACCAGTTCTTGGCCCAGGGTTCCTACGGTCTTTGGGAACTGGCTGTGTTCAAGGGCAGGGCAGTTGGTGGGAGGGGTTCAGAGAAAGAGGGAAAACGGGATGCCTGGTCCTGGCCCCCAGAGCTTGGATTTTAAAAAATAGCCTTGGCCTCCATGGTGATTATTGAATGGCTGTTTGGCTGGTGCGTTAATTGAACCACCAGAATTTCCTGCCACTAGGCAATGCTTAGCCCACAAGCTAAGGTTGAAAAGCAGGCTGGTGAACACTTTAGCAACTGCTGAGAAGATGGCCTTTGAAAGCCCGAAGGGGCACTCGGCACAACTGGCCCAGCCTGGATGGGGTCATGAGGGTCCCAGAATTAGGGCTGGCAAGGACCTCCAGAAATCATCTGCTCTGACCCCCACATTTTCTAGGTCAAGCAACTGAGGCCCTGAGAAGTAGCATGACTTCTGGGAGACCTGAATTCAAATCCAGCTCCAGGCACTTAACCCCATCTGCCTCAGTTTCCTTACCTGTGAAATGGGGATGATGATTCCATTCAGCTCCCAAAGTTGTGCCATGTAAAGGCCAGCTGTTATCATTATTTCCCATATCTCCTTGCCAGGATTTGAACCAAATCTCCTTTGGACTCTTTCCCCCATATCCCACCATCTCTTACATACGTGACCATGCACATGTAGACGCGAGCTCTGCCTACCGCCAAGCTTGTACCCCCGTGAGTGGAGCACACAAGAATCTTTCTGGAGGGGTAACACAGGGTTGTGGAACAAACGAGGGGTGGGGCTTTGGGGTCAGTTCTGTCACTCTGTGGGAATCTGCTTCTGGTGGTGTGGAAATCAATAATCCAGCTGGCCTCTGCTGTTTTCCAGGGAGCGGTCTCATTACAAGATTGGCTGCCCACATGCTTGCTTTGAGAACCCTGGGCGTGAGTGGTCAGCATGCTACCGAGTGGCCTCCTCCCTTGACCTTTTGTGTGACTATGATCACTCAGTGGGGACCCTGATGGGCAGTGCTGTCTATGAGCAGGGCAGCCTGGTGCCACCGTTGCCCCGTCCGCTTCGGGGTCGGGCCTTCTCAGAGAGTCACATCAACTTGGACTCCCCAAGCACCCGGGCTAGAGAGAGAAGAGAGCTCCTGACCAAAGTGGATGAGACCCGGCCAGATCCTCTGGGAGCAAGAAAGAAGGCCCCACCTCCCCCACGGCCCCCACCTCCCAACTGGGCGAAATATAGAGGCCACCGGCTAGCTCAGCACTCCCAGTATGCCATCTTGGAGACCTCGGTTGGCCGGCAGTCTGACACAGCCTTGGAGCAGCCTCGCCCCCAGGGGGCCCACGTGGAGGTGGTGAGGAAGAGATCCCAGAGCCTCCCTCCAGAGCCACTGCCCAGAGACTTCCCTCCACAATCTGCAGGTGACCGGCCTGGGCCGGAGCAGCCTGGCCCTCAGTACTACCACCCTGGTGGGGTATGGAGAATGCCAGAGCAGTTGGGCCTCAAGCCCGACCCCGCAACCTCAGCCAGGCAAGTCTTTCTAGAAGGCACAGGGGTCCCCAGGGCTGCCATACCCAATCCACAGAGACTGCCCTAGGCTGGCCTGTACCTTGAGCTGGGTGACTTCCCCCTAACCTAGTTTGGGTGGCCTGCATCCTCTCTTCGCTTACTCTTGAGCAGGCTGTGGGCCTCTTCTCATCTTCCTTCTTCCCTCAGAAATGAGAAGCACAGGCAGTGAAGGCATCTGACAGTAGCCAGGTACATAGGCTCTTTCTGGAAAGGGATGTAACAGGCTGCATCCCAAGGCTTCTCACAGCCTCTAATGCCTCTCATCCTCTCGCATGACTTTGAACAGTTGGACACCATGCACGCCAGCTTCCTTTCTCCTCTCTCTCCTCCCTCTTCATTCAGGCATCATCTTTGCAAGGCCTCTGTCCACGGTGCTGTACAGTGCTGCCCACCCTACTGGCCCCCAGATAGGCCCTGGAATGGCCAGCTCTCTCAGGTTCACTCTCGGAAGCCCTCCTGGCCTTTGTGTGCCCATTAATGCTGTGGAGAAGTTCTTGCCTGCTACGGTCATAGGCACTTTTAAAGCCCTCTTTGGACATGCCCGAGGCTCTGAGAGAGAGGTTCGCATGGACAGTAAGTGGCTGAGCAGGGAGCTGACCCGAGGCCCCTTGCCGCCAAGCCAGGTGCGCTTCCCCCTGCACCAAGTCTATTGCTTCAATTCAAATTCCAAGGCCTTTTATTGACAATCAGCTGGTTCCTGGGATTGATCAGGCCAATTTAGTGGGAGGAGCCATTGCCCCATATGGGGCTTCCCAGCCTGGGTTGAATCCCGTTTTCTCCCTGAACCCCATCTCGCTACTCCTAGCTGGTCCCGTACCACCTATGCTCTTAGCTTGCATTTCTCCTGCTTGTTTGCAGCAGTCTGGGATGAGGGTAGGGTCCTCATTATTCCCCTGGCCCCTGAGCAAGCAGCTGAAACTTTCCCCCAGGGTCAGGGGCAGTGGTGTCGAGGGCACATGTTTGTAGCAGGATGCATCTCCGACTTTGATCCCGGGTCCCAGCTAGCACCAGAAGGAAGTCTTGGCCAAAGCATCGGCCAGCCTAGAGCACTGCTTTATCTCGTCCATGTCCAAGTCCCTGAGTTTACAGAGAAGGAAGCTGAGGCAGGCCCAAGAGGGAGGGGACTTCGAATCATAGACCATCCGAGCTGGAAGGGACCGAAGAGATCTCATCCCACTGACTTATTTTCCAGAAGAGGCCCATGAAGGGGCATGCTTATAGACCAAGGCTGAGCTTTGAGTTTATAGACCAAGGCCAAGCTTTGAGGCTCAGCTCTGCTAATGCCCCATCCACTTCTCTTGAGCCTATCCCATTTCTCCAGAGAGCTCTTACCCAGCATCCAAGGCAGTAGAGGCCTTTAGGAATCACTGGCATTCTCTGGCCCCCTACCCCCACCCCCTGCCAATTTCCCCACCAAGCCCTTTTCCTGCTTCATGCCCCATAGGAACTGAAGAGGCCTTTTCTTTCTGGGCCCAGGAAATGGGCGTTGTATTACAAAATCCCTTCCAGCCCTGACATTCCATGTTCTGAGGTCCCTTCCAACTCTGACATTCTCTGATCTGTGTTCTAAGATCCCTACCGATTCAGAATTCTGTGTTCTGAAATCTCTCCTAACTCTGATGTTCCATGTTCTAAGGTCTCTTCTAGTTCTGATGTTTTATGTTCTAAAGCCCCTTCTAGCTGTAACATTCAGCATTCTAAGACCTCTTCAGATCTGATATCCACGTTCTAAAGCCCCTTCTAGTTCTGGATGTTCCAAAGTCCCCTCTAGTGCTAATATTGTGTGTTCTAAGGTCATTTCCAACTCTGATGTTCTTTGGTCTAAGTTCTAAGGTCCTTTCCACTTCCGACATTTCATATTCTAAGGCCCCTTCTAGTTCTGACATTTCCTATTCCAAAGTCCTTGGAATGTTCAAAAGTCCCTTCCAGTTTTGACATCCCATGTTCTAAGGTCTTTTCCAGTTCTGACATTCAGTGTTCTAGGATCCCTTCCAGTTCTGACATTCTGTGTTCCAGGGTCCCTTCCAGCTCTGACATTTTGCGGTCTTTTCCAGTTCTGCCCTTCCATCCCTTCCAGCTCTGACATTCTGGTAGTCTAAGTGGGAACTTCCTGGTTAGTCCATGGAGGCAATGATTTGCTCCCCAATCCTGAGAGCTCATGGTCTTGTCTTTTCCTCCTCTCTCTTCTCCTCTAAAGAGCTGAAGCTTTGGTAGAAGAACATCCCAAAGCCAAAGACACCTGGAGCCAGGGCCGTTCACCTTCTGAGGAGCAGTACCGCCTAGTGAATTGGAGCCCAGAGCAGCAACGGCTCAGCCCTGCTGGCCTTGGTGAGTCATTGGTGATGGGGGATGCCGGGAGATCTGGAGGACAAGCACTCACTCCCCACTTTGTTCTGCAGCCACAGAAGAATCTGGGTCTTTACAGGACGCCACAGAGGTTGAGACCTGCCGCTTGGTCTCAACACGGAGGTCAGCCTCGGCCCGCATCAACTCGGAGGAGCTAATGAGAGACGTGGCAGATAGGGATCGGTCACTGGCTGGCATTCTGAACTCAGCCTCCAACATGGTGACAGCTGCAGAGGTCATGGGCGACCTCTTCCCCACCGATGATCTGCCTTGGAAAAAACATGTCCGCCAGGATTGGCATTTGGTCAGAAGAAGACAGGAAGTAGCCAAGGAAAGGTAGGGCCATGGTTCTAAGCAGGCAGACTTGGGGGAGGGGTGGATGGTGATGGGAATGACCCTGTGACTGGCAAGTCTTCTGTTTCTCCCCAATCCAACCCAGTAGCATATATTAAAGTGCCTACTATGTGTCAGATGCTGGGGACAAAGAGACACAATGGAAAACAGTACTTCCCCTCAAAGAACTGGCGGGGAAGGATGAGGGGCAGATAGATGTGTGTGTGGGGTGTGTGTGTGTGTATATGTGTGTGTGTGTGTGTGTGTGTGTGTGTGTGTGTGTGTGATAAGAAGGAAGGTAGCTAAGGGGATGAGGAAAAGGAGGACTTCTTGTAGGTGGTGGCATGTGAGCTGAAGGAAGCTACAAGTGGGAAAGGGAAGCATTCCTGGCAGGCCCAGAGTTGGGAGATAGTGGAATGCCACTTTGGGGGAATAGTGAATGTGTCTTTCTGGCTGGTGTGGACAGCGTGTAAAGGGGTCGTTTGCAGGAAGCCTGGAAAAGCAGATTGTAGAGGGCTCAGGAGCTGACATTTTCTCCTCGAGGTCACTGGGAGGCATCGAAAGTCCTTGAGCAGAACCATGTGCTGTTGGAAGCTCACTGTGACAGCTGTGGGAAGGCTGGATTGTAGTGCAGAAAGCAGGAGCAGGAAGGCCCGTGAGGAGAGCCAAGGGCCTGGCTTAAGCTAGTAGCTGTGGGAGTGGGAGGAGGGGCTGCTGCCTGCAGGGTCAAGGGCAGGTCAGGGTCATCCCTGGGTATGCTGGAGACTTGTCTTGGCGGAAGCTTGTTGGGTTTTCTCCTAGACACAGTAGACAAAGCCTCACCTTGGAAACCTTCTGTGATTCTTGAAAGTGCAAGGCTCATGTTGACCCCAGATCATCCTGCTCTGCCGAGGATGGCCGAGGGGTGACCCCTGGCACTTGCTTGGGTGGGGAGCAGAGGGGAGGCTGCCTTCATTTCTGATTTATATTCCCTCAGCCTTTGGCTTCTAAATGACTTCCTGTTAACATGCCTCTAGCATGGTGTGAATAGGGTGGGGGGAATAGGGTGGGAAGAGCCCTGTAGAGTTCTGCCAGTTGGTAGCTCCTGGCTGCCCCTTGCCTCAGATCCTGGGAGGCAGCCCCCTCCAGCTCAGCTCTGGTTCTGTGCTTCCCCAGACAGGAATTCCAACCCATCTCCCCACCACCACCATCTGGCAGCCTCAGCAGCCCCACCAGCCCCACCAGCCCCACCTGTCCTACCTCCTACTCGGCCTACTATAACACCTCAGCAGGCAAGGCGGAATTGTTGAACAAGATGAAGGAGCTGTCCCAGTTGGCCAAAGATTCCCTGGGAGAGGCTGAAGTGGACCATGAGCTGGCTCAAAAGAAGGTAGGGGGAGGGCTTGGGAAGGGGGCAGCCTCCGTGGGCCTCTGGGCATCCCTCCAGTGCCACCAAAGCTAGCCCCAGTAGGTCAGAGAGTCACATTGCTCACTGACAAGTGACCCGCATTGCACCCTTCTATATGGGCCACTAGGTGACTACCTCCCTTGCCTATTTTCCATTCTCAGCTAGGCCCAGCCTCCTGTGCTTTACTTCTATGGCCAGGGCCCCCAGGGCCTGGACTGGTCCTTAATGAGCTCCCCCTTGACCCGGCCTTGCCAGTCAGCCCCTGCCCAAGACCGGTCCGAATTGATGGGCAGTGAGGAGGCCAGGGAGGCAAAGCCATTACTCAAGTTAAGTGGTCATTTGCCAGGCTGATTGGGTGCCTTGAGAACAGGTACGGGGTGGGGGGTGGGTTGTTCTCTCTCCATAAGCGCAACAACCCCCCCCTCCCATTTTCCCTCTAAACATGATCAGCTTTTTTCAATCTGATTCCTGGAATCCCTTCACCCTCTGTCCCGACGATTTCATAAGCAAATAGTGTTGCCATGGCAACATTGCCAGGCTACTCTCCTGTCTCTTGCTATCTAGACCTCCCCGAAAGTGTACATGGGCCCCTGGTCCTCTTTGAGGCAGAGGCATGGGGCAGTGTGAGAAGGAGGTACTCCTACCCTCCCCCCCAGCTCCTCAAAGAGCAGGCCAGCAGCTGTGACCTCAGGCCCCTGGTGCCTCTGGCCCCCTGCCTCCTCACGGGTTTCCTGGAGCTGCTTGCAGACATGGGCTATCTCTGTCTGCTCCTCACTTACTCAGGCCATGAGCTCTGCAGGAGCAAATTTAATAAAGGAGGAGAAAGAGGATGGGAGATAACAAAACCCAGAGCCAGAGATGCAACTGTCAGGGAGAGTGGGGGGTCCAGGAAGACGGGACGGCCTCATTGTAAATGCCCTAAGAAGGCTGGACTTCCAAGGCCAGAGTCCTGGCTATGGTGTTCCCAGGCCCACTTCTACATTTGGAGGCCCAGCTCATGCTTACCAGATCTCCCATATGGCAAGAAGGTAGGCCAGCCCTGGAGGCCTCTGGGAAACCTCTTTCAAGCGTCTCCCTTTCAAGCCATTATCCAAACATGGAGCAAAACTAAGGGCTTAGCATCTTGTCCTGGTCAGACCTAGGGTCACTAGCCTCTCTCCTCCCCTCACCCGCCCTGCCCAGGATTTCCAGGTGCTTCTAGGCCAGGCAACGAGAAACCTGCAGCTTCATGAAAGGACACACTTCCAACCTCCACAGCAGGCAAGTTGGGGCCCAGTGACAAGAAGCAGCTAGGGAAGCTTTCCTAGCTCTTCTCAGGGGCCCACAAAGCACAAGGAAGTGCTTTTAGTTTGGAAGGCCCTGGTTCCAGAGCTAGGAAGTGGCCACCCCAGGAGGATAGAAAGTTTGACAGAGCCAGGCCTAGCTGTACCTGATCAAAAATCCCATCCTGCGTTGTCTGAAGAACCTGCTGCTCAGTCCCTGTGTGACCTTGAACATGTCCTTTCCCTAATCTGGGCCTCAGTTTTCTCCTCTGTAAAATGAGAAGGTTGGAATAGGTAAGCTTTGAGGGCCCTTTCAGCTTTGGGTGTATGATAAGCCTAGGCTCCTCTGCCTGATGACAGACAGAAGTTTGGACTTGCACACCTTCAGTGAAGGGAACCTCACTACCTCCTGAGGCAAGGTATTCCACCTTGGGAGAGTCCACAGCTCCTGCCCAGAAAATGAGCCTTCACTGTCCCTCCTTGACAGCTCTGGGCCACCTTTTCCTGACCTCCCCAGCAGTTCTTCCCACTGGGGCTGTACCTGGGTCTGCCCTCTTCAGACCTTCATCCCAGGCCTCTCTTCTCCAGGCTCCACCAGCCCACTTTTCCAAGGCCAGTTTGCAGCTCCTCACTGGGTGCTAACCGCACTGCCCTTTCTCATCCCTGCTTCATCCCTCCTTTCCGCCAGCTGCAGCTCATTGCCAGCATCAGCAAGAAGCTGTCCGTGCTGCAGGAGGCCCAGCAGGGGCTGCTGGAGGACATCAGTGCCAATGTCGCCCTGGGGGAGGAGGTCGAGGCCGTGCTGAAGGCCGTCTGCAAAACCAACGAGTTTGACAAGTTTCGGCTGTTTATCGGTGACCTGGACAAGGTGGTTAACCTGCTGCTGTCCCTTTCTGGGAGGCTGGCCAGGGTGGAGAACGCCCTTAACAGCCTGGACCCTGAATCCACTCAGGAGAAGGTAGGGAGCAGAGTGGGGGGTGGAGATGCCTGTTGCTACCTGGGCAGCGACTGTGGGCCTTTCTCAGGCCTGGGGAGGCACGGCCAGGTGGGTGCAGGAGGCTGCTGGTACCACACGAACAGCCCACAGATTGCCAGGTTAAGTCCTGTCCTCAAAGAGGGGAAGCCTTCTAATCTTAGGAGGAATCCCTAAATTGGAAGGGACCCCGGAGGGCACATGAATTTCCAGTGTCCCTGACAAGTTATCATCCAGCTTCTACTTGAACACTTTGCATGACAGGAAACTCACTCTCTACCTTGTGAGGATCCTGCCCTGATTGGCCTAGAAGTTCCATCATACACAGAGCTAAAACCAGCTCTTTCCTCTGTCCCACCTCCTTCCCCCATTGCTCCTGGTTTGGGCTTCTGAGCCCAATGAGAGCCAGGCTTGTCCTTTCCCTTCCAAGATTTGAAGACAGTGACCCCTCCCTTTCCCTCTCTAGGCCTCAGTGGTCACTCCCAGCTCAGCATCTGTGCTCCCATGAGCCCTTGGACTATGGTCCCTTTTAAGTCTTCTCATCTCCAGTTGCCTGGCACTGTTCTGGCACCATTTTGAAATGCGAAAGACAAACTGAGTGGTTGGAGACTAGGCCGTGACCTTTGGGGGGAGAGAGGATAGTTACCCAGCAAGTCCCAGCTCCTTCCTGCATGAGCGTAATCTTTTACCCTGATGCCCCTTTCCCCCAGCTTGCACTGATGGAGAAGAAGCGACAGCTGACAGAGCAGCTGGAAGATGCCAAGGAGCTGAAAGAGCATGTGGACCGGCGGGAGAAAGCTGTCTACAGCACAGTGTCCCGCTACCTGCTTCAGGAGCAGCTCCAAGATTACCGGCACTTCGTGAAGATGAAGTCGGCTCTCATCATGGAGCAGCGTGAGCTGGAGGAGAAGATCAAGCTTGGGGAGGAGCAGCTCAAGTGTCTCCGGGAGAGCCTCCTGCTGGGTCCCCCAAGATTCCTGAGGCTCGGATTGAGAAGTGGGGGTATGAGGGAGGCTTCCCAGAGAGGTGGCCACAGTCCTGCCCTCCCTCCCTCCATCCACTCGCCTTGTGCTAACTGCCCCAGCCCCAAGAAGTGCCTTCTGTTGCTAAGAACCCAAAGAGACCCCACCCCCCACCCCCTCCCAGCCCCAGAACCTGCTTACAGATACTTTCCCAGGCGGCTTGCCTGTGCCCATGGGCTCCTCTGGCCCAATGCTTCCAGCGGAGCCTGAGGCCGAGCCTGCTGGGTCTGTCTCCGTCTACAGTCCTCTCTGCTTAGCTGGGTATTCGGTCTGCCTGGCCACCATCTGGAGAAACTCAGAGGCAGAGAGGAGTGACTCGTCATTTATCCAAAGAAGTCAAACCAAGCGTAGCTAGAAAGCCAGGGTCAGTCATCAAGTACCACCCGTGTGCATGCACCCAGAATGGCCCCTTCCCACAGCTCCCAGTGGCCCTTGCTGCAGGGATCCGGAGTGTGGCCTTTGTACTCTGCCTGCTCCCTTCTCCACTGGTAGAGAAGCAGCAGGGTAGGCCTGCCCTTGAGGGCCCCACACTGCAGCTGTTGGCTCCTGGGGCTCGTGGGGGCCCAAGCCACCTCCCCAGTTGGGATTGCAGTTGTTCATTTGTCATATGTTCGCGTTCTTTCCATTTTATTTATTTATGCTCTAAAACCTTAATGAAGTGGGCATTTGAAGAGAGGGTCAAAGTTTGCCCCAAGAGAAGGCTTGATGGGCAGCTCCCAAGGCCCCCGATGCTGCCCAGGGGCACTGCCATGCTAATGAGGACAAGCCATCTCCCATACCATGGCCCTGACCCATGAGGCCTGCTGCAAGGTGGGGATTCACATTTCAGGTTGATTTTTCCCCTTAGCTGGCAAACATCTGCACCCACATTTCTGGGTTCCCAGTCTGTCAAGCTGTCTTCTCTCCCTCCTTGTAGCTGATGTGCTGGCCGGCACCTTCCCCCCGACTAGATGCAGAACATTCCTCCACAAAACCCCATGAGGGAAATGAAGGCACCTGGCCTTGTCCAGTTAAAAGTGGTTCCATCTCTAGTCTCGTTTTGGCATGTCATGTTTCAGCAAGACCTGTCTGTGGGACGGCCGCCGGACAAGTGCCAGTCTGAGCTGCTGGCAGCAGTGAGGGGCTCCTCTCTTGGCCTGAGCAGGAGGGCCGGGATCTCTTGGCCGAGGCCATGAGAAGACACAGTCAGCTTATCCTCTGACCACTTGGACCAATGGGGGCTCCCTCCCAAGGTAGCACTTTGCTTTCACATTCAGGCAGAGGCTGGGATCCAGTGGCCACTGGCATGGAGAGAGTTCAGTGGACCACAGATGGGGCACCCGGCAGAAGCTGGCAGCCACTGGCGAGGTTGAAGGATGGTCTCCCAGAGACGGCTTGCTTGGGGGTGAAGGAATTTGCGAGGGTACTCACTGCCCTATTACAAATGCTGCCTTCCTGTTAAATGTCTTTGAGACCAAGGGGAGAAATCCAGCCAACTGGACCCAATATGGGGTTAAGCCCTCCCAAGGTGGCCAGGGCAGCTTCCAGCCAGTCCCGGGACTCTCCATCGTGGAAAACAAAGAGCCCAGAGATGACCCTCCCATTGCTGGGCCATACTCCCAAGCCCAGGCAGCCATATTCTCCCCTAGCCTCCAGGCCTCTTCTGCCATAGCCAGGGCCAGGGGGGGCAGCAGGCTTGCCAAGGGAGGACCAAGGCTTTACTTAACACAAAGTGGAGGCAGGCGGGTGGGTGGGCATGTTAAATGAATGGAAGCACACAGTACATGCAGCAAGACAGGCATCTGGCTTCTTTAATGGGCCCTGGGGATGACTGTAATACTAATAAGCTCTGGCACTTAGGGAGCCCAGGGTCCTCCCAAAGTGGGGAGCTGGCCCTCTCCTAGGTGAGAGGTCAAACCCCAGGCCCTTCCCCCATGACTCCCCAGTGGGCCAGGGGAAGAGGAAGTGTTATCCATGGTGCCCCACCCAGGCCTGTTCCCCCTCCCTCCCCCTGCCACCTGCTGCCCTTCTGGGACAGAGCCAGAGCCCCAAGGGCCATGCCAACTCATTGGGGGCCAGTGCTTGCTGATATGCCCTGGGCACCAGCCCTGGTGTGGGGACTGGATTGCTCAGGAAGGAGACGCATTAAGCCCAGAGGGGGAGAAGCCCCCCTCAGGGAGACCCTTGCAGTAAATACCAAAGGGGAGCTCCAGTGGGGGGGGGCTGGGAGGAAGGAGGGGGACAGTGAGAGAGACACAGTGGGGGAAGGAGACTGGCAGACAGCAGGGCCCCTCCGGCCTAGCCTATCTGCCCAGCAGCCTGAGGCCACCAGAAAGCCCCAGGGAAAGACCCTGGAGGAAGACCCTGGAATCAGTGGGCACTTTACAGCCCCAGGGAGCAAGCCTTCATTACTTTCCTGGTTTTCAGAATCTCATGGTCTGCTTCTGTATCCCAGCCCCCAGCCTTACCTTGTATCCCTGGGCCTAAAGAGAGGAAGGGCCCACTGCATTAAAAGGTGCTAAGAAAAAACTTGTCTTGCGTTTCTCTTGGCAGTGGGGAAGACCCCCCCAGATCTCCTTTAGGAGGACCCCCTTCCCCAAGAGCCCCCTTCTATACCTGGGGCCAGACTGGGGGGGGATGATTGCCATTCTCTGGTACTTTCTGTGGCATCTTCAGTGGTGTCTAGAGCACAAGGACCATCTGAGTTGGATGAGACAGATGTTAAGGTCATCTAGCCCATTCCACCCCCTCCTCGTTTGACAGAGGACTAAGGGACGTGGCTACAGTCATACAGGAAGGCAGCCTCAGAGGCATGATTAGAACCCAGGTCCTATGACTTCTTAGAGTTCAGAGCTCTGCACTGAGTCCAATGCTCTCATGACATGACGGGCCCCTGGTGCACTTTGAGGGATGTTTTCTTGGTGGCCCCCAGAAAGCTGAGACCAAGTTCCCACTCATCGCTGTGAGTTTCCCAATATTACAGAATAAAGTATTAAAAGGGAGAGACCAGGTTAGTTATTGAGTGATTGCCTTGCAAGAAGTTTGTGCATCTCCAGCCAGTCCTGGGTATGAAGTCTCTTTCCCAACAAATCCCCTTGGGCCAGCTTTGCAAAGGAGTCTCTGTCTCTGTCTCTGCCTCTGTGTCTGTGTTTCCCTCTCCTCTCCTCTTGCCCCCAGGTTCCTGCCATTCTCTGGGCTGTTACTTGGACCCCTGATATACAGAGAGCAAAGCAGACGGGGAAGCGTGGAGGCCCAGGGGCCAACGTTGGCCTTTTCAACAGCTGGCCTCAGCCCTGAGATAGCCAGGTGGCTAGCAGCAGGAGCTCTGGGGCAGTCGGCCTTCAGTGGGGGCAGTTCTAGAAGGAGAGAAGAGGAAAAGCATTTGAGAACCCTTGACATATTCTAGAAGTTCTTGAGAAAAGTCATTGCCAAAGCTTGCAGCATTCATTCTAATTCATGCATTTACCAAGTGCCTGCTGTGCGCAGATACAAAGTTTGTTGTGGCCTGGTCACGTCCAACTCTTCATGACCCCATTTGGGGCTTTGGAGTTGCTTGCCATTTCCTGCTTCAGCTCATTTTACAGATGAGGAAATGGAGGCCAACAGGGGTGCAGTGACTTGCCTAGGGTCACACAGCTAGTAAGTGTCTGAGGCCAGATTTGAACTCTGGTCTTCCAGGCCCAGTGCCCTACCTACTGTGCCACCTAGCCTGTGCTCTAGGTTTAGATAACGCCAGACCTGGTCCTTATACTTGTTGCAGTGTGGCTGAAGGGACAGGACAAACAGCTGACTGGGACACCATATGGGTATTAGAGAGATACAGCAAAGCAGATGCCGCGTGACACTTGAATGTGGGTGGGGATGGAGGGCAAGGGAGGATCAGGCTAGCCTCCTCAGAGGTGACGTTGGCATTGGCCATTAAGGAAGGGTGGCAGAGGGCAAAGGAGGCCATCCCAGGGAGGGGGAAGAATGTGGAAAAGCAATGGGCCTGTTTGAGGGGGCGGAGAGGAGTCTAGTTTGGCAGGAGGAGGCAATCAGTGTGGAGAGTGAGTTTCCACATTATGGAGGGAGGGAGGAAGAGTTTAAACCATCCTCAGCAGATAACAGGGAGCCACTGCTGATTTGGGGTGGAGTGATGTGAGCAGAGAGCAGATCCAGGCCTTTGGCCCTGGTTGGAGTAGGTGGCAGATACTACAATGATACTACGGGATGGACTGGACTAGGTGGTGGCCAAAGAAATGGGCAGGGATTCTGCTGCCAAGGTGCTTTCTGCAGGCTGGAGAGATCTCGCCAGCTCTCTGGAGGGCGGCCTTGGGAAGCCACGGATAGGCTGCTGGGTGAGAGGGTGAGGAGGACCCCCAGTTGGCCCAGTCTGGACCGTGGGAGGCTCGAGCAGAGGCCCAACGTTGGGATGCAGGGGGATGTGTTGCTAAGGGCTGGATGGCCAAGCACCACCCTTCGGATTGTGGTGTACATGTGCGTGAGTGGCCACGTGTGTGCACCTCTCTCCGTGTCTAGTAATAACATCAACAACAGTGATGAGAGTAATACCAGACCTTTCAGTAGCACCTTAAACCCATTACACCCACAATACCACATACATTTTATAGCTGAGGAGACCAAGGTCAAGAGAGGTCGTGGCCTTTGTCCAGGGCTGCAAAGCTAGCAGGTGTCAGGTTGGATTTCAGCCCAAATCTACCCGGGCTCCAGAGGCTAGCTCTCTTTCTGCTATGACACGTTGCTATAAAGTAGGGGGCCTGAGGCCTGGGCGAGTTGGAAGGTTCCTACCTCACTGTCACTTGGGGCAAATCACTTCCCCTCTCAGGGCCTCAGTTTCCCTCTTTGTAAAATGAGGACCAGGTGGGCTCTAAGGTCCCTTCTAGCTTTGGGGAAATTTACATTTTGCAGAGCTGCAAAGGCATTCCTCTGTAGGCACAGTCAGCTTCACTCTTGGTCATGGGGCAGACCCTGCAGAGGCTGCTCAGTCCTTGCTTCATTCCCCACTCTCCTTTCCCTCATACCCATTCCACAGATTGCCAGGACTGGTCCGCTTTCGCAGGTGCCCCAGCCTGAATCCCCGCCCCCTCCATACATTCATCCACCTTGGGCCAGTCCCTTAGCAGGGGCTCCTGCTTCTGGGCAGGATACTCTCGTCTTGAGCAGCCTTGGCGGCGGGGGGTGGGTGGGGGTGGATCTGCAAGCACTCCCTGAGCCAGAGGAGGGAGTGATGGAAGGAGACAGATGAGCTTGCCTGGCCGGCTCAGAAGGACTGCGGTGCTCCCCTCCCTCTCCCTCCCATCCCTGGCTCTCTGTTGGGCAGGTCCTACACTGCAGTGATGGCATGAGCCTGGGGCTGCAGCTGACCGCAGCACTGGGGCCTCGGGACTTCCATGCACCCTGGACCACAGGCAGAAGGTGCCAGAATGGGGGAGGAGGGAGGGAGTGAGCGGGCGGGTGGGGAAGGTGCCCTCACCCCCTCCCCCTTCACTCCAGAAGCTCATTCACTCATTTGGTTCTTCAACATGTTGTAAGTGGAATGAGGGTTGGCCCTGGAGTCAGGTTAAATGTCCCGGGTTCAAATCTCAGTGCAGACCCTTCTCAGAGAGGGCCTCAGTCCTTTGCCCAGCCTCCCACAGCTTGTGTCAGGGAGTCCTGGCCTTTTTCACCAAGGCACGAATTCCAAGGCTGTGTGGCACCCCTGACCCAACCCTCTATCCAGACCCCCATGTCATGGTTCCCATTTCTATGGGGCTTGGAAGTTTATACAGTATTCTTCTCATGACAGCCCTGTGAAGGAGACAGTGTGAGGATTTTGATCACTCCTATTTTACAGATGAGAAACCTGAGGCTTACAATGGTGAGGTGACTTGGCCCAGAGTCCCACACCTAGTAAATGTCACCACCAGCAAGGCAGTGAAGCTCTGAACTCAGGTGGTGGCTACAAGGTGAGGAGGGGTCCAAAGTGATCCCCAGAATGGTGGTATGGTCAGGAGAATGGGCAGGGTAAGGATAAGTTAGTTCAGTTTGGGACACAGTGAGTTTGAAGTTCTGCTGTAACATCCCAGTGGAGCTTCAGCAGGAGGTAGAGACCCAGGACTCCAGTCCGAGGAGCCGGGTAGGTCTGATGGTTGAACACTTGATCCTGAGTGAGATCTTAGGGGTGGGGAGGGGATGGAGGTCAAGGGGGAGGGGGAGGGCTTAGGACAGCAACAAGTCCGAGACAGGAAGTCTCAGAGGAGTCAGCAGAGAGAAGGGGAGACCGGGGAGCATGGGGCATCTTGAGAGCCAGATGTCAACCAAGGTAAATAAGCTGTCCAGTAGTGGTGGGGACCCAGATTGTGGAGCTCAGGAAATCTAGTGGCTGGTGGGGACATTGAGGCAGCAGGTGTAGACAGTTTCCCCAAGAGGTTTGGAAGTGAATGGAAAAAGAGAAAAAGGCTGATAGGGCTAACAGTGGAGCCAGCAGAGGGGAAGGGGCTGAATGTGCTGGAGAGCGACTGACTGAGGAGCATCGAGGCCCCAGAGATGGCAGGAGAGGAAGACAGCAAGAGCGCCGGGGGGGGGGGGCACCAATACGGAGGGAGCTTTCTGCTGATGCATGGATTGGGCTGGCTCTTTGGGGTGACATTCAAGCCTCCACACTACTCTCTGGGTATATAGGGTGCCCTTTCCCACCTTCATGCCTACACCCCATGGAATTCTGGAAGAAGAGAGAGAAAAGAGGGTTAAGGGCAGAGCTGGGGCAGACAGCCACATGTGAGATGCAGGAGGAAGGAGAGGAAGCAGTGAAAGGGAGGACAAGCTGGGGGGGGCAGAGCCCCATGCACCCCATCCAGAAATGCCAAGCCCTTCCTTCCCAGCTGGGAATGGTCTGATGTCCTTCATTTAGCACTCTGCGAGGAAGAGGCCAGGCCCCTTCCTAGACTGACAGCTCCATGAGGGCAGGGACTGTGACTCTGGCATCTCCCCCAGTGTCTGGCACACAGCACATGCTTACTAAATGAGGAATGACTGAAAGTCAATAAGATAGAGCCCGGATGGGCAGAGCTTCAAAACTTCCTGCCTAGGTGACCTTGGGTAAGTACAGGAGAGGAGGAGGGGGCAAAGCTGACCTTCCGAGGTGGGGGCGGAGGGGGACGCAAGAGCTCCCTCCAGACCTCTCTCAGGTGACGCAGGAGGCGAGCTTGCCTGGAGAGCTTTGCCGGGGGGAAGGGGGGGCAGCTCAGGAGTCTGAGCAGAGGGAAGGGCAGCAGTAGCCAGCTTAGGGAGTTTTCTAGGGAAGCAATAATGAGTAAGGAGCTTTCAATTCTGTTCAGATGATATGCTCGGGCTCCAACCCGCACAGGAAATTGCAGGTGCCCCTTCCCACTCCCAGGGCCTGCCTATCCACCAAGGCCCAGACATCTAGAAACATGCCCTGGTGTGGCTCTGGCTGCATCCAGATCAGGACTCCTTTCACCACTGCAGCGGCTTCAGAGCTTGGGCCATGTGACCATACAACAGCGGCCTCCCCCAGGGGGGCCAGCAAGCTCAAGGCCTACTAGCCAGGTGGCCCCCATCCTCCAGCATGTGAGCCCCGAATGGCGCAGGAGCCCCCAGCACTAGAGAACTGCTGAGGCTATAGCCCCGGAGGAGCAGCGGGGTGCCTTCCTGGCATTTTGGCCAAGAATTTCACCTTACCTTGCTGATTCGTTCATTTGGGCATTTACATGAGTGCTTTGATTCCCCTATTAATGAAGAGGCTTTGGGCCAATGATGCACTTCATTGTCAGAAGCTTCATTTCCAGAGGCAGAAATCATAGAAGAGGCCCAGGGACTTGTTCCAGGAGGTGGCTCCCTGCCCTGCCGCAGCTTCTCCCCCCCTCCCCAGGGCTGTGACTCTAGTGGTGCCGTGAAGGCCTGTGTAACCTGGGCTTACTGGACCCCAGTCCCAGGTGTCTGGGTTATGTAAGCCTCTGGCATTCCCTCC